GAGAGAAAAGGGGGGGGGGGGAAATAAGATATGTGTGTGTCTCTAGGTTTTGATCTGGTATTCAATGGCTAATGATTTAAAACGTCCTAATTGTGCTTCGTGCAAGCCTCTACCACTAAATTTAGTTTGCATGTGTTAATTCTATTTATCAATAATCACCATAATAAGAAACCGTCACCAAGAAATTTCAGGTAAAAGTCTAGAAAAAGAATGTATGTTGCTGTTTGCATTTTTTTTCCTTGCACTACATTTTTTCATATTCACTTGCAATGCGCCTTTGAGCTTGCTACAACATTTGACTACTCCAGGTAGAGTCAATTCCCTAGCACAAATGAAGAAATAATGTCACCAGCACACCATAGTGGTAATTAAGCAATAGTCCATTTAATGACACATTGCCATTCAATTCCGGTGCCATCCGTGGTCACTACAAGTACCCACCCGTCTGCACGGGTCTCTTGGATGTTCCGGTAAGGAGTGCAGCAAGACATCTGGTTATTAATTCCCTAGCACAGCCCCTTCCTTCCTTTCACTCTCTGTGCCGGCCCATCTCCTCCACCCCTCCCTACATATTATTTTATGTAGCTTCCCAGAGATCTAGCAAAGGAGAATACTAGAGTGTCACTTGAGTGACAGCTCTGAGTCTGCTGGGACATCTGACTTCACATCCAAGATGGCAGGGCCCAGCAGCAGTGTAAGGGCTTCTGGATTTCTACACGCAGAGGCTTTTACAGGCTAATAACATGCATAAAATACATTAAATGCACATACAATCTTATGCAATGCCCTCCAAATTCCCCTTCCATGGCAGCAGTCTGAAGCCTGGGACCACTATTATCTGTGTGACAGCAGCGGTCTATCTGCAGAGGTCCGACATGCCCCTGCACAGTGACAACTACTGTGCTCCAAACAACAAAGCTTATGTTCCCTGAGGAGCCTGCTGAAGCACTATTAGGGAAAAAAAGGTGAAAACCTTTTATGCACCCTCACATAATCTAAAGGTTAAAAAAGGAAGCAATTACTATTGTGCTTTAAGTTCTATTAAATTAAATAAATCAGCACAGAATGGCGATGCTGAGGGTTCAGCTGAACCCTCTAAGCATCATACCCACCTAATCCTATGCTTTGCTGCTTTGCAGCAAAAAAAAAAAATCAGAACAGACCTTGTTCTTTAAGTACTCTGCTCTAAACTGCAATTCCTGAAAAGCCATTGTACCTTGGCACAAAGAGAACCACTAATGTATTCAAATCCTTACCATCTTAAGTAAATTTGTCACCTCAAACACCCAAATAAATTCTGTCTGCTTGTTCCAGCAATTTTGCTTTGGTACACATTGCAATTGAAAGCTAAACAAAAGTTACTCAACTGGCTATGACCGTGTATACTCCTGGGTTACTTACTGGTTTAGAAAGGCAAAGAGGTAGCGTAATACAAGTGTGACAATGGGAGGCAGCTGTGACACCAGCTTCTTTAGATGCGCTACTCTATCTTGTGTCTCCAGCTCTGTGGGAAAAGAAGGATAGTGAAATGTCACATTACATTTATAACCAGTCATGCGTACATATATATTATAAAGAATGTTGAACATGACATTTATAAAACTATGTTAATATAAAGAATGTAAACCTGAACTCCAAACAAGCCTTTAAACACAATGCTGAAATACATGGGAATTGTTTCATCTCCCAAAGGATCTGTAAGTCTGTGCGGCCGATCTTCTGATGCATGCACCCCTGACAGATAGGACAGCCAGGTACTTGACCCCTACTGCAGCAGCAGCACAAGCTGGTCAAAACCCCACCTCCAATGAGCTGATAGGACAATAAAGCCTCTGAAACTGAGCAAAGTGTGGCATTACTTTGCTCATTTTGCTTTCACCTTTTTCAGCATCTTCCTTGTCATCACATGTGCACTGCAGCAGAGCCTGATTGACTCCTAGCACAGGCCCTCCTCGCCTAGTCTGAATGCTGCTGTAAAGGTTACTACAAAGGCTGATAGCAGGACAAATTCAGGAACTTTCTGTATACTAGTAGCATTTCAAAATAAATTGTATTATTTTTAAATAAATATATTACAGTCTAGTTGTGTTATCAGTATCTTCGTGGAGTTTTTACAGTTTTCCATTGATATGTGCAGACCTTTATCACCTTTCTCTAAAAATTACATCATATATGCATGCTGATATGAAATCATCTTACAATCATTAGTTAAACAAACATTTTTTGCTCTTATTTACACCATTTTTGCACTTCCTGATTGAGCAAGCCACTAGTGATGAAGCCCTGGCTTCACAGAAACATCCAGGAAAGGCTACATCACCAGCGCCTTCCTGGGAAATCATCTGTAAACTGCAAAATCTCTCAAGATCTACGGGGAAAAGTATTTTTCCCCCTTAGATGATGTACACTGTTACATGCTCCCGAAAGTAAAGGGAGATGGATTAATTGGCCTTCAGTGGAAATGGCCACTGTGAGAAGAATGGGGAGGGGGGAAAAAAGGTATGCAAAGAATAAAAATCCTGCAATTATCTAGAAGTATCTGTTTGTAGATTGCCATTACTACAGATTTCTAAAGGTGCCTTTGTTGTAATTAAGATAAGGGTGAAGTCCCTTTTTAAGTTCCCAAATTTTAGCCCATGTAAGACATTAGTGAGTAAGTCAGTTCACTGGTATCTATCCAAAACTGGCAATCGCCTTTAAAAAGTTTATAGAGTATATTAAAGATCTCTTTCTGATAAAAGAATATACACTCACGGAGAGAGTACAGCAGATCATTAAACATTTCATTAGGAAACAGTGGCTTCTCCAGGCCTCTGAAGTACAATTTAAGAACCCCGGCTACAGAATCCACATCATTTCCACTGTAGCTGGAGTCCAGCGGGTCCTCACCTGGTACAAAACAAAAGAACAACCTGTTAAATGAGACCTTTAGTTGGGACAAACCTTCAGTAAACTTGCATATTGCAATGTTATGTGTACTTTTTAAGTGCAAGTACAAGTTTCAAGGCTGCAAATCAATGTTCAGTACGTTGGAGACATGTTGCTTACTGCAGGCTGAAGAAAGATATGCAACCCAGCAGGAGGAGAAGAGGTGTAGGAGTGGTGCATATTGGGGAGCTGTGCAAGTGTAAATGGCTGGATATATGACCAATGGACACATGGAATGACAGCGGACACAGGGGTGCAACTGCTAGACATATAGAATGAACAATTAACTCACTATGCAAAACAAATGCTTGCTGCACACAGGAATTGACCACTGGACACATGGAGCACACATTGGACACATGGATAGACTTGCACTATACACAGTGACAGACTCCACTGGCACAAGGACAGACCATCGCATTGCACGCAGAGACAAACTACAACCACACACAAGCACAAACCACACAGGAACTGGAGTATCTATGGACTCTGACTGAAACCAATACTAGACACGTACTGCAACTACCAATTGGCACAGGGACAGACTACCATGTGACATAGGGATAGGCCTCCACTTGACACAGGCATCAACCACCAATGAAAACATGGACAGTCCAACATTGGACACAAAAAGGAAGCACTACCTGACACAGAGAGCATCCACCACTGGACGTATGGAGCGAACACCACTGGACACATGAAAAGACCACCATTGGACAAAAGGATTGACCACCTCTGGACACAGGGAGCAACCATTACTGGCTGCAAGGACTGACCACAGCTACAGCCAGGGATGGACCACTACTAAAAATAACGAGATAAGGTATGCACACCAAATACAGCAAAGTGGCAAGTAAAAGCTTAGAGCTATGGGTGCTAATTGTACTAAAGTTATTTGCACCAGGTAGATAATATAATAAATTATAAAAAGCAAATCATAAAGCTTAAAAGTCAAAAGAAAAAGTCAAACACAGAGTTACAGAAATCATGGTCATACAAACTGACAACACTGACAAGCACAAAAAAGAATAGTATTTTGTAGGAAAACTGCATCAGAAAAATATAATGGCCACCACTACCACAACAGCCAAGAAGTCACTACCACTCCAACCACAAAGTGTCCACCACTATAGCTATGAAGTGACCAGCTTTATAGCAAGGCCGTGTCTATCACTATAGCTAGGGTATGACCACCAAAGAAACACCATAGTTAGGCGATGATAGTGGTGACCAGATTAACTTATACAGTATAGCAAAGGAGCCACACTACTTTTACACCACTGTAGACATACAGTGACTGCCAACACTATAGATCCAAGGTGTGATCATTGTCGTAGCCATTTTTAGATCCCCCTAGACCCAGAGAGTGATCCCAGCTATAGCCACTTCTAACTCTTCAACTTGAGATACAGAAGTGAAAGATCACCTGAAGCTTGACACTTGCTGCCTGTCACCTGCATTACATCTCTTACTGTCTCCCAGCTCCTTGCAGTACATAACAATATAAAAACAGAGCAATGAAATTAAGAAGAATCAAAACAATTTCAAGGCTCTGTTTTTGGTATGCATTACAGACAGACACATATATAGTATCATGCTATGTACACACTCATGTATACAGTACATACTGTACAGTTTCACACCTATATATGCATACATACACACGTATAAATTAAATTCAGAGGCCGCAGTGTAGCACTGTCATGTTTCCAGATACTGCTATCCAGTCAGGCTTAAAAAATATCAAGAATAAAGGTCCCTGCAATAGAAAAGGGTTTATACTCATCTCTTCGGTGGCCCGTGTCTTGTACCTTTCCTCCATTCCAGCGATGCAGTCTCTAGAAGACTCTTTGGCATTCAACACTCCCAGAAGTGTCAGGTACTCATTTCCCCTGCCTCCTGCTGTGGTTCCTTCCTCTGCATCATACAGGACTCTGCAGTGATAACAGGTTTGGAGAATAGGACCACAGCACGTGGGAAGCCAAATTGTTGAATGCTAAAGAGTCTTCTGGAGGCCGCGCTTCTGGAATGGAGGAAAGATAGGAGACACAGGCTGTCTGAGAGATGAATATAAATGTTCTTCTATTGCAGGTATTATGGAAAAAGTTTTTCAAGAGTATCAGGCATGGTGCCCAGGAAGCCGACCCATAGTATTGCTGTGAGTCAGATAAATCTGAATGAATATATACAGGTATATGTATTCTTGATCCTTTTTAACCCTGGCAGGGTCACGTAAACTTTCATGATCTCAGAAACAGCATTTGACATTGTTTTCCCAGACAGTTATCACTATACCACAAGCAAACAAAATGAATAAACAAATTCAAGTCCCCCAGTAAAAAAAAGGTTCTGTCAGTTGGGTATTGCAACTGCAAACTACAGCTGTTCTTATATGCCATATTCTATGTTATTTTTACACAATTTATCGGATTACAAGTTCCTTCCTGTTATCACAGCAGTGCCTTGCACTGGTACTACAGGCAGGAAGTATGCACAGTACAAGAGAAGTATCTTTGCCCACAATCACACTTATATTTAACAGACAGTTTCGATAATCAGCTGTAGCCAATGTTTTATACGTATTAGTTTACTGGTCCCCAAATGCATTCTTAGCAAATATTTTCCATTCCCATTACCATATTACATTATCATTAACACTGCCACGTATTATGGCAAATGGATGTTTTACCAAAACTTATGTTAAAACCACATTTATTATGTAATAATATTATCCTGCTTCTACTACTGAACTTTTCCCTGTGGTCTTCCACCAATAAATATGTTATTTTTTTTAATGTTTTTTTATTGCAGGCTGAAAAATGCACAAAAATGTATTGCAGAGATGAACGGAATGTTTTTTGCTCTGATGTATACTTTAATGTTTAAATGTAGAACGCTCCAGTTATGATGTCCGTTTACCATTATATTGGCCGTATCAGTAGTCCTCCGCAATTTCCTCTGATGGATTATAGGCATTAAAATCTGTAAAAATTTGTAGCACATTCATCATACAGACTTTAGTTTGAGACACTGACCTCTCTCGAAGGCACTGCGGATCTCATTGACCTGGGCTTGTGATCCTGGAACACGGAATATACCTTCATGCTGTAAGCCTATAAGTTGGAGAATGCACAGGTCACAATCACAAATCATTTCATGAAACAAATATAAACTTCACAAAGTAAAAACAATGGAAATGTTCAGCAACATTCTTCTATACAGCATTGCCCATTGCAATGGATGATAACATAAACCACTTCTCCTTAATCACCACATACCTAAGAAACATAGAATAGAACAGCCAAAAATATGAGCTCTCATCTAATTATGGGGATGAGAGCATTTCACTATCCCCATAATTCTCCTTTAAGAGCCAAGTGAATTTTTGTCACATTAACAGGTTTTTTGGTGTACTCTTCAACACTAAACTCCTGGCAAACTAACATAGCTGTAATACATATATATGGAACAAATCTACCTGCTAAAGGATTCGTAATTCTGCTTGTTTAAAAATATTGTGTCAAGACCCAGCCCCACTGGTGACTGGACAATGGCATCAGCACTCCTCCTCCCTTCAGCATGTTCATGGTCACCACAAATACATGCATCACCGTTCGAATGAATAAGAGTGATGCTCCTCCCTCTCCCAGACTGTGCTGATGTGCAGAGGATTAAAGGAGACTGATATCAAGACAACCCAGGTACTTACATTTGCTGTATGTAAAATTGCATTTACTTATATTTCAGTAAACCTACATAACTGCATTCACTGGTGTTTTTTTTTTTTTATAAATCCCTGGATTTCAAATTTCGTGTGAGAACAAAATTAAAGTGCATTTCCACTTTTGCAGCCAAATTGGGACAACACCTATTTAATATTTATTAGATGTTTCTCATTCACATAGTATAACTAAATTTGTTTTGCTTGCTGCAACCTCTGCCACCCTGGTAGTTCTACCACTGTCTCTAGGCTGTAGAGGGACTACAAATCCCAGCAATAGAATATACAACAATGCAGAAAACCAGCAGCTATAGTTACATACATAGTTACATAGTATTTGAGGTTGAATAAAGACATTAGTCCATCAAGTCCAACCTATTAGGATCTCATTCTAGGAGTACCTGTACCCCTGTATATTACGGTCCCTTAAGAAATACAGGACAAAACCCTGCTAGCTTTGTTTACAGTAGGACACTCCAATTTCCTCCTATTTTGTCATTGGTGCCGATGTGCATAGAGGACATAGAGGACTACAAATCCCAGCAATACATTATACAGCAATGCAGAATACTACCAGTTAAACCCATTTAAGCTATCCAATAAGAAATGTAAAGCACCGCTATCTATGCTTAGTATCAGGACATTTTCACGAGTGCGAGTACTCGTGAAAATGCCCAGTATGGGCACCAATAATGGTATCGGTGCATTCCTAGTTGTAAGCTAGATTTTAACAGTTTGTCCTAAAAAAGGGTAATGATGTAGAAGCATTGTATGTTAGAGGAAGCTCAGTGTGTCCCTGGTCTTTCTATGAGAACAGAAAATATTTTTCAGTATGCTGTGTGAATGGGAACACACAACATACAGTGAGGTTTTCTCAAATTTGACTGCGAAAGTGGAAATACACTTCTGTTAACATCCTCAAGGCTGTGTTATACAGCAGTACAGAAGTGATTGGTGAAATAATAATCTTTTGATAGCACCATTTGCAAACAGTTAAAAAAAATATCCCTTTGACTAGCCAGCTATAAAAAAAAAAAGATTTTCTTACCGTGCAAATTTATAAAGCGGATACAGCTGGACACGACTCGTGGAATGGCCTCTCCTGAGCTCTGGATGGTGATGGGAAACGGTATAGTGAGTTACTGTATATGGCTCATACATGCTATTATTTATATTTAGACTGTTAGGTAAAGTGAAGGATTTACTGGTGTACAAATCAGTAGTCATGTCATTTATGGTTTAATGTAACCTATAGAGTAAATCTAGTAATTAAAATGTTAGTTGCATTTTAGATAAATTTAAGTGGATTTAGCCATCTGCTGTTTTCTTATAATATTCTCTGACCCTGTGGGAAGCCTATCGAGGATCTGATTCAGTGTACCCACACCCAGATCACATGCTGAGGGAGGCCTTTCTACGCCCCTTGCTGGAATCTCCATAGGAAAACCTGGAGTATGCAGCTACAAGATCTAGAAGACCATGTTGTTGGGCAAGCACCCCCTCACAAAGCAAAAGCCACAGAGGTGCAAATGTTTCTGCCACTGAATATTAAAAGAAATAAGCGGATTATTAAACTTGATAATCTTTATCTCACAGAGTTCATCACCAGATTTGGGTGACTGACTCTATAAAGTTATATATAGATGAAGGAGAGATACTGTATCTGTGGTATACAAGCAACTCAATTTTAACGCATACATAAAAGCTGTTCAATTTTCATTTTTTACATAAAAAAGAGAGTTCTTAACATAGATTTTTCTTAAGCTGATAACAAGTCCATTGCAACCCAGGACACAGACAGATTGCATCCAGCAACATTCATCCATTCAAACCACAGATTATCGTTCCATGTCCAATTACCAGCAGAGAACCCATACAAACAAAAGAAAAGCTGGCTGCACACCAGATTCCGCTGGAATAGTTAATTGAAACTTGTACCACAAGTACAAGTTTCAATAAACTATTCCAGCAGAATCCAGTGTACAGTCAGCATATTTTCTGTTTGTATGGGCTCGTATTGGAGCAAGGATGTGCTCCCAGCAACAAGTACCTGGCTCATTCCTTTCCTGAACATTGGAGGAGTGGTGCTTCTTTTGTGTGTTCTCCTTACATGAGGACAGCCACTGACACCGTTACCCTGTAACGGTAACTTTAACAGCAGCCACATCTGTATGGACCCACCTGGGAATCCTGCTACGTGAATCCGTAGGTACTTGCTGCAGGAGTCCCCAGCTATTAGCCCCATCAGAATGGGGCATTAGATGATGGTGAAGCACTAGTTATGGTCTATGTATGCCAAGAAACTTTTTTTTTTGTGTAAAATTTAGTCGCTTGCATACCACAAATATCCCTCCTGATCTTATATACGAGGCTCTTGAAATAATTATTTGGGGATATAGGTATATACATAAGTAAATCATTTCCTCTGATTTCCCATAAAATTTTCTTTGTTATAAAGTTGATTACCAGCATGCAAGTTAATGCCAATGATTGCGCTATGGGCAAACATTGAATTCTGGGCTCCTCATAAGGAGTTATAGCCAGGTAGAATTGAAGGAAGCTTGTACTAAAATAAACATGGGTTGCCATTCCTGACCTCCTCAAAATGCCAGGGGCCTGGCTTAATTCATTAAAATGGAACAAGTATGCAGCACGGTGAGTTGGATGTTGGGTGGGTAATGTTGCAACTCGTGATCTGCATAATTGTTTCTAAGTTCTACAGGCAATAGATCAGCATGACAACCAGGCAACTAGCATTTCTACAAGGAGCTCAGCAATGGCAGCTTACATATTTTCTTTGAGTACAGGTTTCTGTAATGTATTATCACCCATTAGAGCAGCTATTGTGTATATATACAGTAAGCAGGCTGTACCATATTTATATGACATATATTTAAAGGACCATAAAACCCCAAAATCAGCCTGTTATTAGTCCACAAAGAAAGTTGAAATTTCCACACCAGAATGCATTATTTTTTTTGTAGATATCTATTATTTAAAGTGTATGTTCAGCCAAAATTAGTTTTTCGTTTTGGATAGAGTAGGGAAGGATTAAAAACACCGTCAATGTATTTGTTGCTGTCTCTGAACCAATGGGGAAATTCCCTTCACTTCCTGTCTCAGAGATGCAGCTAGAAATTAGAAGAGATCTCCCAAAGTGAGGCAAATTCCCCTCTTAGTCAGTTGTCCCCTGAACTGGTGTCCCCATTGGAAGATTTCCCCTCTCCTCTTGTTCTGGAGACTATTCTAAAATCTTAGCTTTCCCCTCAGTTGTCGATGACAACAGTGTTCAGTACAAAGTGGGTTGAATTTCTGAATTTAAAACTTGACTCTTTCCCACTCTTTACAAAACACTTTAATCAAGACATTATACAAATGTCCTTTGACCAATGACCATTTGAGAAGAGTTTTCATGTGTTATGAAGCAATCCATTTCATTAAACTTGAATGCAACAACATCAACACCCAAGTACAGCAGCAAAGGAAGGATGATGGGGTGAAGATGAAAAATTTAATACAACAGATTATCACATGAAAATATACCAACGTGCATATTTCTGGTGGGAATGTGACCTATGGGCAGGAAGCATGTGTATAAGAGGGTATAAGCTGCCCTCTCACACTAATTTTAATATGCAATATCGTCAAGTCTACAATCTGTCTATTTTTTAGTATTTGTATAAAAGCAAATTTTGTATTTTAGATTAAGTGGTCCTTTAAGGTATCAAAAAAGTATAATTTTATTTCTGTTCTCCAAATGGATTGGTTACCAATATGGCCATAAGGGCTTCAGCATGTTCAAGAGCAGTGTGTGCAGAAAGTGTTTATAAAGTTTTGTTAAAGTATATGTAAATGTTCATTTTTTTTTCATATATATTTGACATCATATGTCACTGTATATAGTTTTCTTAAGCAAACTGTTTTTGGTAATCTCTTGCAAAGTCACTTCCTCGAAGTTAGCAGCAGTATTGTCAGCCTATTGTCTGAGCCCCCTTAGTTAGCCATTGGGCTGCCTATTTGACAGACCTGATAAGCAATCCAATGGCAAACTGAAGGAGCGCACATGGTAGCCTGCAACAGGAAGTGTTGTTACTAGCAGGATCTCCAGGTAAGAAACTTTGCAACAGATTCCAAAAAAATGATTTGCTTCAGAAAACTGTACACAGTGAGGCATGATACTAAACATACTGAAATGTGAATTTTGGATTTACATACATTTTACAGATTTCAACCAGCTTTGCTGAACTTCAGCTCCAGTTTGAGGATTTTAAAAACAGATAATAATGGGAACGTTGGCTGCCACTTTAAACATGCTGCGAGCAGGCTTCAGTGCATTTCAAGTAGAGTTAAAGCTCGCAGAAGCCTTCAAGCAGCGTGTTTAAAGTAACAGTCAGCACTCCTATAATGATCTGTGGTAACATCCCCAAACAAGCTAAAGAGGCTTCAATAAAGCTGCTTGAAGCTGGCTGAAACATTTGTAAATGCTTTGTAAAAGCATGCAGTCAGGGCCGGTGCTAGACATTTTGCACCCTAGGCAAGACCAGCTACTTGCACCCCCTCCAAGCCTCCGCGCGCGCTGCCCCATTCTCTAGCTTCCATTCGCTAGCTTCCATGGGCGATAGATCGATGTAAGCCGCCTGGACAATAGCCAGACTGCTATTGGCTATTCAATTGGAAATAGACAATAGCAGACTGGCTATTGAAACACAAGCAACTGAGCAGAGGAGCAGAATGGAGAGAGAAAGTTGTCTCTCAGTTCCGCTCCTCTGCTCAGTGGGCGGGTGCAATAGCCAGCCTCCTATTGGCTTTTGCAATTTGAAGTAAAGGGGCTAGGGGGCACCGTGGGTGGATGAGTGGTCGAGTCTTCGCCCTAGGCCGCAGTACACCCTAAGCAGCTGCCTAGTTTGCCTAGTGGCAGCACCGGCCCTGCATGCAGTACACACTGCTCTTACACCAGCTGAAGCCCATGGGTACAGCAGTTGTATCAAGCTTGTTCAGTAAGGGAAACAGAAGTGTGCAAATTGCAAAAACCAACATCAAACTGAAATCTAATTGGTACGTATGAGTTATTATGCTTTACACTGCCTGTGTTGCCATGTATAAACAATGTTTTTGGTAACCAGTCCACCTAAAGAGTAGAAGTTGAAGTGGTAACATCGTGAGTCTTGATGCAGTGCCACTTATATAGCACCACCAAATTAAAAAAAGAGAACAGTACTGTTTATAGACTACAGTGAACCACAACATACATATCTAGAAAAAAGAGTGATGGCATACTGGGTGGTGAATAGGGTGCAGTTTTTTATTTATATATTTTATTGTGTGTATTTATTTATTTTCTGGGGTTTTTTTTGGGTATATTGCAATATAAGGTTTGCGGGGTTCATTGCAGTCTATAAACGGTGTTTTTCTTCTTTGGTAGTGACATTGGTACTGCTCAGGATGATACATTACAGATAAGCTTACAGTGTGTGTCCAGCCAAAACCTTTTGGAGAATGGAATGGAGAAGGATTAGAATGCCAGTTCAGTTTTTACTGTGGCTCCATTAGATATGTTTTTCCTGTTCCGGTAAGTGCAGTTTCACAAGACAGGAAATTAGCAAAAATCTGCAGAAGGGACACAGTCGGAGCCCCAGATAGCAGTAAAGACCCAACAGGAGTTCCAACCCTTTATCTATAAAACATGTTTTGGTTAGATTTATACTTTAATGCATACAGTATTTTTAACCCTTTAAGTGGACATAACTGACAATAATCTTGACAATTTATAAACAAGAGATTAGAGAAGCAAGCAGAAAGAAGCAAGAGATACTAAGATGTACCTGGGCGCGGGACAGGTACCTCCGTCTCCTATATGCAGTGCAAAGGGAGAGAATTAAAAAAAGACAAACAAGATTGATCTGTAAGATGTTAACAAGCAAGTACAAGCAGCACAGAAGCTCGGATTTATAACAGTGCAGGAAGGTTCAGCCAAAAGAACATTAAGCTAGTTTATTTAATAATGAAGTTCAGATTTTAAAGAGCCGAAGATCCGTGTAAAATGCAGTAACCCGTGGAAACCTGTCATCAATCATCTCTCCTCTGAGGTGATGATGGTAATCTAACTAGTCGCTCTGGGTTATGCCATATTGCTTACTGCACTATCTAAGCCTGTAGATATTTAATGTGGTTGTAGACCCAAAATCTATTTTTCAGCATGTTTAGTGTTATAGTTTACTGTATACAGTTTTCTTCATCAAATTGTTTTTTGTGGATCTGTTTTTTTTACTTGGAGATCCTGACAGTTACAGCACTTCCCGTAAGCTGACAACACTGGCCACTGCCTTGCAATTAGCAGCAGCATTGTCAGCCTGCTGTGTGCGCTCCTGCAGTTGGCTTTTGGGTTACCTATCTGATAGACTCAATAGAAAAGCAAACGGACAACTGAAGAAGCTGGCTGACATTGCAGCTTTGAATTGGGAGGCAGTGGGTAAGTGTTGCCATTACTGGCATATACTTCAAATAAAATACTTTTCAACAGATTCCCCCAAAAAACCCATTTGATTAGAAAAACTGTATGCAGCGAGTAATAATGTCAACAATAAAAACAAATTTAGGTTTTTCATACATTTGAAGTACAATTAAAATGAAAAATTGTTTTCGTTTTGGATAGAATGTGGTAGGGCCCAAACCTCTGTAAGTTTTGTATGGCTGTTTGTGTCCCCGCAGGATAGAATTGCCCTCTCTGTTAGACCTGATAACCAATGCAGAAGGCGATGGGAAATTCAATTTTTTTTATATTTTCTGGAACATGTGAGAGTAAATCTTTGAATGAGGAAACCTGTTCTGGAGACAAATGTCTTAACAGAGGATATCCTCTTGCTTTGCAGAGATTTCCTCTTAATTCCTGTTGGCGTATTTTACTCTTCCATTTTTGAGCTTGCAGTGTTCTTGCCACTCAAATTCTCTTCTATTTAGCTTTTGAAAGAGATTTACAAACTGGCACCAAGGCTGCTGAGCACTCACAAATGCCTATATTTAAATGATGTGCAACTCTGGTTTGGAACCCACTGACAGAAATAGGTTTTCTGAGAATTTCAAGAGAAGAGTAATGGACAGGTCCACTTTGGGTGGCCAGTGGAGGGGCTTTACCACTTTCTTTTAAAACTTTGACAGTATAACCACATAGTATATGGTAGGAAGGGACTATAAGAATCGAAAAACCTCTAACAGAATAATTCCTTGGCACAGTAAAGTCTTCTTAAAACAGAAGATTTTCACATGTCTACTCCTATCGCATATTATGAAAATAAGTAATACATTCCTCATTTCAGGACAGTGGGCAGGGCCATGCAAATCATTCCTTTATGCCCCAACAGCCAAATGCACATCCAGAACTGCTGCAAATATGGCCTAATATTATAGAGCCATGTATCCCAAACTGCATACACCCGTTTTAAGCTTTTTGGCCATCATCAGTGCATGGTATGGAAATAATGGTTTCTATAAAGTAGGGTATGGGACCCAACAAGACGGTATAACCATACAAGTTTTGGTGGGAATAGACTAAAGGAATCAAAAGGCTCTTCAACTAAAGCAGTGTGTAGGACAGTAAAGCCTTACTATTACTGAACTTTGGAAACTCCTTTCCTACTCAAGAGCTTCTGGAACTGCACTCTCCTCCCTCTGACTGCAGGAACTATCTTTTTAAAGTTGTGTCCTGCTCATTGTATGCTAGTTTTAAAGTAACTGCACAGTAAGCACTATAAGCATTCTGTCTTTACCTTTTCTGCACTCCCACAGCTACTTATCTTTTGCCAGAGCTCTGAGAAAAATACCTGCTGCTTCCAGCGATGGGGGAGAATGTGACACACACCTCCTGCCTCCACACAATACAACCAATCACCAGGACTAAGCACATTCACTAGAGGAGCTATATAGCCCTTTATAAGTTTTGACCTTTAGAAAGTTGAAACTTGAAAAGGGATTTGTGGGCAGTACTGGAGGGAAGATGAGTTTTTACCACTGTCAGTTGCTATGACTAAAAATATTTATAAAGTTAGAAGGTACTGAAGGAAACAAAGAGAAGCTTTGATTGCATAATGTTTCTATTGCCTAATACAGACAGAAAAAACTGAAGTGATAGACTGTAAGGGTAGCAGAAGGCAAAAGGGGAAGCAGAGATTAGAGATACAGATAAAAGATGAAAAAAATGGATAAAGTTATTAATGAACACAAGATGCATATAAATGAGAAATTGCTCTTCATTACAAGAACTGGAGTAAAAAAGGAAGACCATTCCTACCCATCAAACTGCAAGGGAAAAGGAGAAAAAGGGCAATAAGCTACAGCTTTGCTGCAATTTATTTTGTCCCAAATCTTAATTGAGAAGCACTGGGTCAGATATGTTGATGTGAAATAAGAACTGTCTATATTGCGAAATTATCTTCTAGTGTATGTTATGTTTTGCACTTCATGTAGCAGAGTCATTTTTTCATGTATTACAGACTAGAGGGTTTGCTAAAGCCCCTTCAAAACAGTGTCAAACCTCTAGGCATAGGTGCCTGAAAGCAAATTTTATACCCAAGACCCTCTTGATGAAACCCTTATTACTTTGCCCCCACCCACTTTTTCTCTGCCACCAAGCAAATGTAGAATTGGGCAGACCACACCAAGTGAAAGATGCTGAGGGAAGATTCTGCATAGCAGAGATGTAAAAAAAAAAGAGAGTGTTGTTTGTGGTCTATTAAAACACATTTTTTGTAATTAAGATGAATACATTTTGTATTGAATCTTTAATCTATGACTGATACCTAAAGATTCCTGCCTCCCATACAAATAGGGTAGTGAAATCTTAACCACTTTCTCATGTACAATTAGATCACAAGACCACGGCATCTTCTGACAGCACCTCTCTGCTTGGCTTGACTGGGTAAAAAACAGGGCTGTTGCCCATACATCCAATTAGGTTTTGCCTTTCAATCTCTAAGCTGCCCTGGAAAATTAGACAAGTAATATAGGTAATGACTGGGTAAAAATTCAATTTTGCTCCAGTTTTCATGACACAAAGGAGAAAATAACAACAGCAATAATAATCATTTAAACTATAGTATATTTAAAGGTAAGACAGTGAAAGCGATAAAAAAAAAAGAAGATAAATAGCATCAGAGGGCTCTTTGAAAAGAGTGTGCAATATTGAGATTATTCAGGCATTTGTGGAAACATACAATATAGCAGCTTAGGTTATCAGATCATTCAGCACTGAAGTGGCAGAGGTTTGTACTGATAGAGCAAAGATATGCAGCAAAGGCTTCTGGGAACAGCATCACTGCAGTGATTTGCCCAAATAGAACACAAGCTGAATCAGAAAGCATAGAAAGTGGGCAGAACATGTGGGAGGTACCTTCACAAACTCCTCCATATCCCCGTTAAACAGTTTGTGGTTATACTGGGATGACGGTCGCTGCCTTTTCACCCTCTGTGATCTACTGGTATTGGACTGCAGCCTGAAACCAACCGTGTGACACACAATTCACCCATAACACAAAACCTTGCTAAATTACACAGTAATAAGCATCAAATACACCAATATCATAGCCTATATTACAGGGAAATGCATATTGTCACTAATATAAGAATAGTGATCATGTGCAAAGTGCAGTAGACCATAGTGACCAATTAAAATACGCCTGCTGTAGCCATATTAATAAGAAAATAGATGAAAGTGACACAAAACTTAGGAGTTAAATCTTAAAAATGCATTCAAGTACCATAACTTTTAACAAAAATGTACCTTATTTGTGTATCACTCGGCTGTAGATCCTCAAATAATCTCTGAATTGGTGCTGACACTGTCCTTCCTTCTGGAGGGGGGCTACTATTGTTTCCCATGGACCCTGTGTGTGTGGGTGTGTGTTGTAAAGTAGCCATGGCTCCAAGCTCACTCCCATGATGGACTACAGTCTCAAGTTTAGTTTAGTAATTTGTACTGGAATTGTAGTCCATCATGGGAGGGAGCTTGGAGCAGTGGCTACTTTACAACACACACACAGGGACCATGGGGAACAAAAGTAGCCTCCTTCTAGAGCAGCGGTTGCCAACAGGTGGTCCGTGGAGCACTAGTGGTCCGCGAGAAAATTTTGGTGGTCTCTGGGCCCTTCTGATGCCGTGCATCAGCACCGGTACCAATATTAGTATCGGTGCATCCCTACAAATAAGATACATTTGTGTTAATAGTTAAGGTACTTAAATGCATTTTTAAGATTTAACTCTTGAGTTTAGTGTCACTTTAAGGCAGAACTCCAGGCAAACATAAAATACACAAAACAATGCAGCTCTGTATTCAATAATACATCATGAATGTGTTTTTATGCAAACAGTGTAAGTACCTGCATTTGACTTGGTAACAGTCTCTTGCTGTACAGCAGAGCTCTGACTGGGAGAAGGTGAAGCAGCACAATGAGCCAATCAGTTGTGCTGCATGCTGATAGGCAGAGCAAGCAGAGTGACAGAGAGATGAACTCATCAGTTGCTGCTTCTCCTTTCACTGTCCAGTCATAGGCTGAGGAAGGGACAAGACCATTTTCTGTTACATAACTGCAGCAGAGGTAAATAAGATCGCCTATAATTCCAGAAAGTGCTGTACTGTGTGGCAGAGCTGTGTAAGTCTCAGGACTGAATGGACAGAAATACAAATCTTTTGGGAGGTAAAACAGCTCTCCAGATTTCTTTTGTCTGTTTAGCTTTTTGCCTGGAGCTTAGCTTACAAAAACATCACTTTAATACAGATCTTTTTTTTTTCAAACACTTTCTATATGAACAAATATGACATCGTTCAATAAAGATATTAATTTTTTTTATCGGAAAAAGTAATTTTAATGTATCAGGTTTTTCGAAAAACATTTTCAGTTTTGTATTTTGCTTTTGCCAGTGTTTTGTGGCAGTACAACTGGGCCTATTCAAAAGGGCAATGTGTTGTAACCTCTAATATTCCTTTTTCAATTAAATCTGATTGGTTGCTATGGAATACTGCAAGTACGCAGCAAAAAAGGGCCCACACTCACCACTGTTGGAGAGTTTAATATCATTCAAAGTGTTTTACAGAGTAAATGAGCATTTCTCACATAGGAAGCTCAGAAAGAGTTAGATGTAGGGGTGAAACTTTGAACTGACACGTAACATTCCTTTTGTGGGAAATGGGCTTTAAGGTAGGTACACATAGAGCGAATTTCGGCTGATTCAGCAGGATTTGATCGAAATTCGATCCATTGATGGCCCTGTCCCCTCGACAGTAGTTGATCGTTAGAATGACTTTTACCAAAGGAACATGCTGGAAATTCGTCAGCCAAACAGTGCTTGTAGACAATCAAATGCAACCGCCATTCAGGTATTTTGACAGCAGTCGGCACCACTGTCAGAACACAATGTACACAGTGGGAGATGCGTCCATCCACACTGTTTAGCCTGGATGAAGGAATCTGTCAGATTTTTTTGGTTCAGCCCCAAGACTGTACACCACAGCAATATTGCCATAGAACATTGGTTCTCCCAGCTATAGCCAGTTCAGCCTCTAATGTTTGAGAGTACTAATGTCTTTCTAACTGCAAAGTCTCAAACATATTCTACATCCAAGTCCCTGAAGCATTACAGCCAACTCTCCAGTGGCCAGTGACCTTCGTTTCAGCAAAACAGCCTCCAAAAGTCACCTCCAGGTATGTCAGATGCCTGTGTCCCCCTCTGTGTGCTGTAGTTCCTTGATCCGATCTCTACGTCACTACAGGGCACAGCAGTGACACAGAAGTTAGAGTTACACGTGGGGGAAACTGACACTCCTGGTAGAGTCAAATGCTGAAGTCTTTCAGAGGCTGCATCACTAGAATGGATCAACTGTAGGAGACACAGGCCACAGGAGAGGTGAATAATTCTTCTATTGCAGGAAACTGGATTTAGGATTTTTTTGAGAAGTTGACAAAGTCTCTTTAAAGTGTCAGTCCACCCACAATTACTTAACTGTGATAGGTAGGTGATGGTGACCCTTTTCTTCTGTCTTTCAGCAAATTTGGGGGTGCAGCCTCTTGTCTGAGCCCTCATTCACACAATGGCCGGCAAGTACAGCTCCGTGCTGCGTGCACGGCCGCATTGCTCAGCTCCTGGGAAGGACAGGTGCTGCGTGTGATTAGTAAGCAGCCCCCCTCCTTCTCTATGGGACTTCGCGGCCGTACGTCCCCCTACGCCCACCCCAAGTGCAGCTCCATATGGGTGCGTGTTTCCTGGCTCGGACGCAGACAGGATCCATCCTGTCCGCGTACGAGGACGGACACCTGCACGCGAACGGACGCGCAGGGCGGGTGAGCGTAGGGCGGCGTACGGCCGCGTAGTCCCATAGAGAAGGACGTGGGCTGCGTACTAATCGGACGCAGCACCTGTCCTTCCGGGAGCTGAGCGATACGGCCGTGCACGCAGCGCGGAGCTGTACGTGCTGGCCGTTTCTAGTGTGAATGAGGGCTAAAGCTCCTTTGCTCTGCACCCCACTGCAAAGGAAAGGGAGGGAGATTAACACCACTGAATTCTTGTTAAATTAAAATGGTTAAGAAGGATAAAATTGAGACATGCTGGCTGCAGCAAAAGGTACACAAAGCTGGGCAATAAGGTGTAGAGGTCTCACCACCTGTGTGTAAAACAGAAACAAATCTGCCAATTTTAGCAGGTGAGGAGAATACTCTCATGTCTTTGAGCAGTGGTGTTCCTTCACAAAGTTGCTCTTTGTAGCGTCTTAATTTAGAAAAACGAAACCCATCAAACACAAATTTGCCAGCAGGCAGAGTATTTTGGTAGAAGAGACTTTACATTTGACATTTGGTTATATTCCCTCAAACGGTGCAAGAAACAAAGCATTACGGAAAATAGGATCTTTCTTAGAACCAATTAAAATTCACTTTCCTAAAGCCAGACCAGAGTAAAGCATATTCTGATTGGTTGCTTTGGGGTCTGCACCGTGCTCCTTGCACTGTTTTATTAAAAACACCTGAATGTGTTGCTATTGATGGGTAATATTTTTGGAACTGCTTGCAATATTTGGGAAGTTGTATCTAAAGACACAACTTTTTCCAGTTTTGGATAGAGTACTGAATGGTTAAACCCCTGCTAGTTACATTGGGTTCCATCTACCTTCACTTCCTTTCCCAAAACCACAAAAGAGAAAATCTCTCCAAAATAGGAGAAATCCCATTGTAGAAATTAGTCACCAGAACAAATGCCCCATTGGAAGAGTTTCCCTCTAATTCTGTTCTGCAGCCAACGGAAAATTATGTATTTTTCCTGGTCACAATGATGACTTTCACACATAGAGAGGGTAAATCTCTGCATCATGGACACAAAACCTAAAACTGCTCTATTCAATACTATAAAAAAAGTTATGACTTCAGATCCTCTTTAAGGCACAGTCATTTGCAATCATGACATGCTGCTATGCTTGCTGTGGTAAAGCAGGTTACATATAATGACATCACTTGTCCCATCCCAGCTATTGACAGTATACATACCCAGAGATTTTATTGTGCGATTCAGCTGCTGTGGAGAAAAATGGAAAAAGTGAGATTTTTAACGACAATGAATGTAAATTTTCTCAGCAGTGCAAGATCTAAAGTAAAGTTTTAGTTCAAATTGGAGTTCTTTAAGAAAGAATCTGACTCTTACATACCGGTAGTACAATGCTAATGCTTTAAACTGTGGGTAACTTTTTGTAAATTAGGCAAATGCTTTGTGGGAAGTTCGATAATGAAAAGTATAAAATTAAATCCTTTGTACTACATAGCTGTTTTTTTTTTATTTAAGGTTGCAAAATGTCCTAAATATCCACTATGCCTAACAAGTAATGTCTGAGGGTCACAGACACAGCAGTATAGCTATGTAAAAATTAACCAAAGGCCTCAGCACATCAGTAACTACAAATAACTGCTATACACTGTACAACCTTAAAAGATTTCTTGGCCAAGCAATCATGTTTATGTCAAACACAAATGCTCATCCAAAAACAAATGAGGGGAACAACAGCAATAAGGACAGGTTCCTAACTTGTGTGATGAATATTTCCTGGATGGTGGTGGTCATCTGTTTTCCCCTAACAAGAGATAACTGTGGAATGTGTCTTCTCTTGTCTACAAGCAACTTATGTATACAGAATAAATAGTAATGCATATGGGGAGCTGTCAATCTAAAACTAGCAGTAAGAAAGATTTTTAGAAGACTGTGTCTACGTTTGGTTTGTAGCAAAAAGTCATTTTACTGCCCAAAAAAATCATCCTTGTAGAATTTACGTTTGGTTTGGTTTGTACAAAATTAATACTGTATCTTAATAGAAGAGACTGCATATTCCAGGTTAGCTTAAATTGAAGAAAATGATAGGAGAAATAGTGATTCTGTGGTCTGCTAAGTAACCATTATCTTTTCTTTACCTTTATCTATGGCCTCTTTTAGTCTGTCACGTTTTGCCTGTAATTTGCATATAGTGCCTCTCCCGGCCACATATTTCTGCAGCTTCTAAAGTACATAGCAAAAAATATAATTATTAACAACATATTTACAAAAATCACAGTCATAAAACAGCCCATTTAGTATTATTATGCCACTATAAAGGCTGTTTTTATGCAGTCATTGAAATAACCAAAAACAACTGATCGTATTCACAAAAAGTGGAAAGTGGTCTGGTGGTATGCAAAGGTGGTATGCAAAGAGCACTATATCACTCAGTCCCCCATAGACAATATCCACCTGTCCACCGGTCACATCCACCAATCTGGCCACCTGTCACATCCGCAGGTCTGTCCACCAGTCAGTCACATCCACAGGTCTGCCCACCTGTCACATCCACAGGTCTGCCCACCCGTCAAATCCACAGATCTACCCACCCATCAAATCCACAGATCTACCCACCCATCACATCTACAGACCTGCCCACCCGTCACATCCACAGATCTGCACACCTGTCACATTCACAGGTCTGCCCACCTGTCACATTCACAGGTCTGCCCACCTGTGACATCCACAGACCTGCCCACCCATCACATCCACAGATCTGCCCACCTGTCACATCCACAGATCTGCCCACCTGTCACATTCACAGATCTGCCCACCTGTCACATTCACAGATCTGCCCGCCTGTCACATTCACAGGTTTGTCTGCCCGCCTGTCACATCCAGAGGTCTGCCCGCCTGTCACATCCACAGGTCTGCCCGCCTGTCACATTCACAATTTTGCCCATCTGTCACATCCACAAGACTGCTCATCTGTCACATCCACAAGACTGCTCATCTGTCACATCCACAAGTCTGCCCACCTGTCACATCCACAAGTCTGCCCATCTGTCACAATCCACAGCTCTGCCCACCTGGTACATCCGCCAATCTGCCCATCTGTCACATCCACAGTTCTGCCTACATATCAAAACCCAAGGATTGCCTTACAGACCTGCCCACCCGTCACATCCACAGATCTGCCCACCTGTCACATTCACAGATCTGCCCACCTGTCACATTCACAGATCTGCCCGCCTGTCACATTCACAGGTTTGTCTGCCCGCCTGTCACATCCAGAGGTCTGCCCGCCTGTCACATCCACAGGTCTGCCCGCCTGTCACATTCACAATTTTGCCCATCTGTCACATCCACAAGACTGCTCATCTGTCACATCCACAAGACTGCTCATCTGTCACATCCACAAGTCTGCCCACCTGTCACATCCACAAGTCTGCCCATCTGTCACAATCCACAGCTCTGCCCACCTGGTACATCCGCCAATCTGCCCATCTGTCACATCCACAGTTCTGCCTACATATCAAAACCCAAGGATTGCCTACCTCTCACATCCACAGGTCTGCCCACCTGTCACATCCACAGATCTGCCTAGCTCTCACATCCACAGGTCTGCCCACCTTTCACAACCATTGCCACAGAAGTGCAAACAAAGAGAAAAAAAACACCAGCTATTGTCTGTAGCAAAAAGTCATTTTACTGCTCAAAAAATCATCCTTGTAGAATTTACTTTCCCACAATCAGGACAGACAAGTCATCCTTTTAATAACCGACATATCTAATTCATAAAGATTTATATGTTAAAGCTGAACTCCAGCCACAATTAAATATATGTGTAGTTTCCTTACACCATCAGAATGCTGCATGATCTAACTGTATATGTAATATTCCACCACTTTTCACCTATTCAGATAGGGAAAGGCAAGAGGAGGGTCAGCCTCATTTGTCTTTGCCCAAGTTCACCCAAAGTGTCTTTTCTGCCGACAAATTTTACTAGTATTAACGGTGTCATTTTTATAACATAGTGAAATGAGATTTCCATTTTGTTGGGAGCTATGAAAATTCTTGATAAGAACTTTGAATGCATATAACCCATCACAGAACATGTGTAAACTCATGTGTCAGTAATTAAAGGGATGCATTGGCAATCCTGCCTAAACATGACTCAACAAGCCAAGTATCCCCCAATCTGTTCTCACTGTAACATAGAAGTTCTCTGTGTCCTGCTGGTTGGCTCTTCTCTTAGCTGTGCTTGTTTTACTGCTGGTATCTGATCCAGTGGATTTAAGAGATTCTGTAGACTGGCTGGACTGGAACGCATCTGATAAGTCATAATCATCGCCTCCAATAAGGTCTAGCAGGGACTGGAGAGTAGCTTTAAGAGTCTTATTCACCTACATGGAGAAAAGTGGGGAAAGAGAGAAAGAAATTACACTACAAATATACATTTAAATTAATTTATCCATGCCGGGAATGGAATCAGTGGACCGATAAATCTCTAACCTTAACCAAAGGTCCAGACCAAAAGGCAGAAAAAGTAATGACAGAAAAATCAGAATTAACATACCTCTTGGTGTCGTGAAAATTCTGCTGACATTGGCACTCACAACGCAGGGCTACTGCGTGTTATATGAGGTAAAGCACTGGCTTTAGGTCACGTGATGGAACTTAAAATTTACAGCTTAGAGGATCTTGTGATTTTACTGTCCCTACCCCTAATTCAGGGGCGGAACTACCGGCGGTGCAGCCACCCCAGGACCCAAGGCTGGGGTGGCCCACTGACAGGGGAGGAGGTGGAAGAGGCCGGGGCCCAGCAGTGCCAGTCTGGCGGCAGAGGAGGCTGGGCCCCAGCAGCACCAGTCCAGCGGGTGGAGGAGGCCGGTGCCCAGCAGCGATGATCCGGTGGCGAAGGAGGTTGGGGCCCAACAATGTCAGGTAAGAGGAGCAAATTGTGTAGGGAAGGAGACCCTGACCAGCCCACCACAGAGAGTCTCAGGTGGGCTGTACAGGGTCACTCTCAGGTGGGCTGTGTGGGGTCTCAGGTGGGCTCTGTGCGGTCTCAGGTGGGTCAGGACGTTCCTAAGTCCAGAGACCAGTGCATTCCTAAGTCCAGAGCATTACTAAGTCCTGAGTCCACTGCCTTACTAAGTCCTGAGTCCAGTGCGTTGCAGAGTCCTGAGTCCAGTGCGTTGCAGAGTCTTGAGTCCAGTGCGTTGCAGAGTCCTGAGTCCAGTGCGTTGCAAAGTCCTGAGTCCAATTTCTGCATTGCTTTTTACATCCAATTCTGGGATTTGTAGTCCCACTACAGCCAACGTTATTCTGTTATTCTGCATTAGAGTGTAAGCTCCTCTGCACAGAAACTAATGTGACTGGCTCAGTGTTCTCTGAACAACACTGTGGTATATGTTATGTCAGAGCTATATGATAAAATCTTGGGAGGGGGGGCCCCCAAGATAAAATCTTGCACCAGGGCCCTTTGTTCCTTAGGTCTGCCACGGCCCTAATTGCTTGCCTAAAGCAACCCTTTATTTAGCTAACATTTACACCACAAATGTTAACTGCTCAACTCTTAAATAGCACAATGGTGCAGAGCAAACATAAATTGCTCAGGTCTGCCCCTGGCTACTCAGTTATTCCCCCCACTGGGCACAGCCATTTTGCCTCTCACACAGCATACAGAGGTTAAAGACATGCTGTTAATTATAGCCTACATGTCAAACTCAGCTGTGCCGTTCCTGTGACAGTTATATGTACTCTATGTAAGCTAGCAGTCAGGAGGAGTGGTTAGAGATGGAGAATAGGTCTTAGACTTCTGACAAAAACGTGCTTTCTGCATATCGGTAACAGTGCTGTTCAGTTTACTGGTGATGTACAGCGATAGATTTATCTTCACTACTGCAACGATCATCAGCATGGCCAACAGTAGAAGTGAGTATCCAAGTTCTTATTTATTTTAGGTTATGGTTTTAGCAACAAAGTCACTTTCATATATGCATTGTGGTGCGCTAAGAGGTGAGTTGAGAGAGGTACGTTTGTTTGTCCCTTACTGACGTTAGGCTGCTATAGAAAATGAATTAGAATGCTAATGCATAGTACAATGAGCACAAAAAAGTGTAAATGGGACAGCAGTAAACTTTAAATAAATAAGAAGGTAAGCAAAAAAAAAAAAGTAATGAAGCCCTAATTACCTCTTCTGTCTCCAGGTGCTCCCTTTCCAGTCTGGACTGAATATGTTGAAACCGACTGACTAACTCTTGGTGGAACAATGGCTCAGATCGAACTTCAAATACCTGTAGACAGATATGGGAATCCTATATTTAAAGTAAAAAAGCTTAAAACAAAAATCACATCAACCAGATTAATCATATGATTTTGATATAAAACAAGAAGCCTAATTAACCAACAGGGTGGCTAGAAGGAGATGGGGGCATGGACAAAATTTACAACAGAGATCTGCACATAATTTGAGATGCGTGTTTCTCTGGATCTGCTCATTGTTTTAATTATAATGCACTTTTTAATATATGTTGTGTATTCAGGAATATATTCACACATACATTCTTGTGCCTGCAGTTTTGTTGGACAGAAAGAAGGTACTTAATACCAGGAGGCTAGAAGGTCACTCTAGTAGCAGGATGAGATGAGATTCTCACTTTGCCGTACAGTTACAGCTACAGCTGTACAGTTACAGCTTCCAACTGGCATGGCCACAAGAAAGTGCAATGATCCCCAATGGCCATAGCAGCAGAAGTAAGGTGACATCACGAGTGGGAGGTTATTAGTACTGGGAGTCAGTTGAAGATCAGTGCTGCATGAGGTAGCACAACAGAGCTGTATTCTCCTGGAAAAAACAATGATCCCGCACCTCATCCCCCTCATGGGGCTGAAATTCAAATCGTGCTGGGGGGCAGAAGGCATCACTGCGCATTTCCATTATCTTGTTCTTGTCTGCCTGAGCATCTATATTGTCCACAGCTCCCTCTATGGCCTGCAGGCCGTGCTGCCGAGAAGTTTGTACTCTATCTTCAGCCTGCAGAAACACACGCAGTGTCTTTCCCATAGACAGGTGAAAGCCAAGGTCACAGCACTGTTGAGAAAAATAAAAATCAATTAGCAAATAAATAGCAATGACTGAGCTGAATTTAGTTTACAAGGGAGAACTTACATCGATAAGGTCACTAACGTCATGGATGTAATAATTATTGAGATTTGAGTTCACGGAGTTCAAGTTGATAAGATATTCATTCCGGGCCTTTGTGCATTTTTGACTGTTTTCCAGGTACTTTTTCAACCTCTGGAAGCACAAAACAGAAAGCTAAATGAAAACCCAAGTAATTTTTCAGGAAAACAATTTAGGTGATACACCCTAAGAAGAACATAAAGTAAACATAATTTGCAAGAATTACAGATATCACACTGTATATGTATTAAAGATGCCATTGGTTTACTCAGAAACTCGACAATACAGAAACAATACAGGGCACGTGGCCATCCCACAGACAGGCATGAGGGAGCACCACATTTATAGGTAAGAGTTCAAGCAATAAATGTTTATTCAATTAAATAGTCCAATACACTTTGATATTTTAGCCAATTAATTTTTTGGGGATTCAAAAATGGACCCTTCATCACAGCTTTAAGTAATGATAGAGGGACAAGGTGAATTTTGGGGATTGGGAGGAGAGAACATGACGTTATAATGCCAATAGACATGTTCCTCAGGGTATGGTTTGCTACATCTATGGAATTGTATTGTGCTATAATGCACTAATATCAATGCTTGGACTCTTACTTTTGGGTGTGGTGCTCCCTCTTGTCGTTTAGGTACCAAACTGAGGTATTTTCGTTGAACCTTCTGTTCATGCAAGCTGCCCACCCAGGTCTAATGAACCAAATACATTCAACTTTGGCTAACCAGTAGAATTCAGCACCACCCAAACCACTATTTTATCTACCTGCAGGCATCTGTGTCTGCTATCATGTCCTTTTAAAAAGGACACTTTAGGTGACCATTCATGTTTATTCCATGGAGAGCTGTGCAGGTTTCCTGCAGATGCCGCAAGTCTTCGCAATTCTTACAAGCCCCTGTGTGATAGCATTTGGAGGTGTCACTTCCAATACAGGAGTTCTAGCACAGCACTGTACTGGAACTTCTGTGACAGCTGAGATGGGAAGGCTGCGAGTACAGCTCTCACTGTTTACACAGAGCAGAAGGAGAACAGGTGTTCTCCGCTCTGCTCCCCACTCTACATCCTGAAGTGATTACCGTGTCCCATGGTCCCCCAGAAGAGCGGGGATCCCGAAAACCACAGCACTGAGGGAGGCGCCCGGGGTGTCGTGGAGAGGACGGACAGACCAAGGAAAGGTGAGAAGGGGCAGGCGGGAGTGACGAGCAGGCTGTTTTACAAGTGATCTTGAGCGGCTGTACAGCCGCCTTAGATCACTTGTACAAAACGGCTCCACCGTTACCGCACTACATTTAGCCCTGCTTGCCCGAAGCAGGGCTAAATGTGGAAACAAACTACATGCCTAGAACTACATGTCCCAGTTGTAGGGCGGTACAAATTCTACAGCCCTACAGTAGCGCCCCCTCCACACCCTCGCTACGCCAATGGGTCCCATGCACAGAAAAAACAAGTTTACTTGTGCATTTCATTAACTTTCTAAATCAGTCACATCCTGAAGATCATTGACTACATACATAAGTATTCTGAACATTTGCTAGAAGTGGATATATTTCCAGTAGCAGCTGATCGATCATCCTGTTTTACATGAACCTGACTTGGTCTTTTACTGTTAGTCTTCAATTTCACTAGGCAGCATAAGCAAGAAGCCTTTAAAGCACTCTTCAGGTGTGCTTAATACAAAAGGTCCCTTTAAACAAGATTTTGCCAAGATTTGGCAGGCTTTATAAGTTTTAACATGCTTGAAACTTGGCAAAGTCTGCTGAGAATTTCTGTTCAGCACACCTGGGTTACAGCTGGAGGGTGTTTTAAGGGCTCCTAGAGAGCTGTTCAAAGCTTGTCAAAAGCTTATACATTATTGCTAAAGTTAATGCCGCTTAGACTTTCTTTTCGCTGTTTGCATCTTTATATAGCTAAATCAATTACCTTCTCTACAAGTCTCTCAGTCTTCTTCAGGGAGCTGCGCCTTGGTCCCCTTTCAGCAACCGGTGAACTTGCAGTCTGCTCGCTTACTTTGCCTGTTCGCTTTTCTTCTTGCTTCTCGGCCTCTCTCAGTTTGTGCTCGGAGTTCAAACAGTCATTGTGGTACAGCTGGTAGGTCTTCACTGCCTGTGGATAAAAGATATAGAGTAACTGACAATGAATGATGGGTCAAAGACATATGCAATCAACTTATTTATTAGATAAATAAATATCTAAATAAATTACATGTCGAAATATTTTAGAACAAATTGTGTCTGAGTGGCTTGCAGCGCTATCATGTATTTATCTGTCTAAAGGCAGGCATTCTGGGTCAGCAAATACCATGGGATGCTTTAACAACATGGTGTCTGAGCACCTATAAAAGCTGCATTTACCTAGAAGAAAACTTTCCTTCTGTAGTGGCTTCTTTACATATATCCTACATAGCCTTGCCTCAAGCTTCCCTGTATCCATTGTACTTGATTGTTCCAGCAAAATCACTTCAGCGTTCATTTTTTTTTTTACATTCTTTATTTATTAAGGATGAACACAGGAGACATGCCATAACATTGAAATAATGCGAACCAGACACAGCTGGTATGGTGGTCCAAACGGCCAATTCAAAAACTTAACAAATGAGTACATAGAAGACTGTAGAATGTCATATCATAAGCTTCCAATAATGACTCAACAAAGTGCAACAAGAAAATGCAACAAAAGGGAAGCTTTCCAGGGCATGTCTTGGGGGGGCAATCTAGGTTTTCAGGGAAAGGGGGGGGGA